AAATAATCTAATTAAAATATTGTTTTATATATTAATATAGTTAAATAAACAGTATCATACAATAGTAATGAGAATTACAAATTAAAACATATGGTCGCTTTAAAAAAATGGTGTTTTTTTTTTGTATAATTATATGTCACTAACATTGATGTTTTACAATATTTTTATGTCTACTGTAACCAAATGGTGACAGAATTTTAATATTTTGCTGGTTTTTCGTTATTGGGATCAGACAGGTTCTGCTATAACATTGAAAGTATTTCTTGAGGAAACTATAAGATAGATTTCTTTATGTTATGCGAATGGTTGGTCTCGTAATCGGTTAACAGTAGTACTAATAACTCATGCCATGTAACCAAACTTAGTGTTTATGTAAGAATCACTCAGCATTCTATATAACCTTTTACATTTTAAGATATAAACAAATTATCCATCGGAATGCTCTAGTTTGGTTTTGCCGTTAAAACCACAATTATGCCACTTTTTCCTGTGCATTTATATTGTATGTTGTTTTTTAACCTTTTATTTAGTCACATTACTATTACTGTATATGAACCCAATGATAGGACACGATTTCACACATTAATCTTCCTCTTCATTGTTTAATATAATTGGTTTTTTTTTAAATATGATCTAAATTGAGGGATGGAACATACAGAGGTCACAATTTACTGGCTTTTCTTTAAAAAAATATCTAATCTAGAAACATCTGATCCTCACAATTATGACTTTAATCCAAGAAACTTTTTTTTTACTCAAATGATGGCATTTTTAATTCTAGTGAAAACAACTTTGGTCCCAAATATAGCATCTTTGATCCAAGCTACATCTTTGTTTGTGCTCTCTAATTCAACAACTTTAATCCTAAAATCCTAAAGATAATTTCTTTTATTATAAAAAATAACATCTTTGATCCTAGGTAAAAATGTTTTTCATCTCAGCAAAACGTTTCAATTCTAGTTTATTAATTCTAGAGACAAAATTGTTCCTAGCAAAATATTTGATCCTGATATCTAATTTGATATTTTGATATCAAGATGGATTTTAAAATATTTTCACTGTAAAACATCTGTTTAATATCATGATTTTGTTTAATAACCAGAGAAAAACAACATTTGTGATTAGGTAATGCAATCAAGATTGATATTTAGACTATATGTACAACATCATATAAAACTTTCTTAATGCTTCTTTAGTTATCATCTAGTTTTCTTCATCATACTGTTTGGTGTACCAATTAATACAAGGCGAGAATATTTTATTTAAACACAGACAATATTAAAAATATGATATATAAGGCAAAAATTATGCTGAAAATTTTCGGCCTTGTGTGCATAAATTATGGATTCTACCACTTTTATGGGGGTTGTTTATTTTGTTAAGAGTGATGGCATTATTGGTATTTGCATACCTGACCTCTGTATGAGATATTAAAAGCCTTATCAGAGGGAAATGATGTATGTTTTTATCTTTTAATGTGATTCCTATTCTCATTACCATCCATTCGAATCTTCATATTAAATTTAAGCTTTAGCATAGAATTATGAACACCAACCACTATTGAACCATGTTGTTTGTTTTGCCATTAGTGCAGAATATGTGTAGTGACTCCCCTAGTGCTTAAGACTTTTTGTACGAAACAATAGAATTGAGATTTTTTTAAGGGTGTTATAAAGAGGCAACAAAACAAAACGTTGTTACCAACAATACCATGAAGCTACGTTCACATTAAGCCCGGATCCGGTCCGGAGCCCGGAACCGGTCCAGAGCCCGGACAAAAAATTGTGAGTTGCTACGTTTTTTGAGCGCTGTGTTCACATCGCCCACGGAACACGGTTGTTCGGGTTAAGTACGTATGCGTTCGATTGGTTCAAACCAAGCAAGCTTGTTGCTGATTGGTCCAAGAAAAAATAAAAACGGAAGATTTCAGGATACAAATGGCTCTCAGATCCATCGGTCCAGATTGAAAATTGTACAAATTTGATGTGAACGGTCTTATTCTTTACCACTGAACCCGTTTTTCACAATTTTTTTTCCGTATTCTGGACTGGGATCCGGGCTTGATGTGAACGTAGCTTGAGATTTAATTTTGTGAGCAACAATGGAGTTGGAGTGGTTAAGGCGCTTGCCTTCTAATCCCTATGTCCTAGGTTCAATTCCAGTCACACAGAATGATTTTTTTTTCTCAGGACAAAAAACAACTCCGCTCCCTAGGCCTTAATAAGAGGCTTGGCTTATAAAGCTTCGTTCCATCCTGTAAGTTTTGAGTGTACAGTACTTGTTGGATGTGAAGTAAATTAAACAATGAAAATATATTAGATTTCTTTTCTATAATAAATACTGTAAGGTGTGTTTCCATAGCTCTCACTGTATTACTGTACCCGTTAAAAATTAACGGAAAGCAGCTATTTAGTTAGTTTCTGCCGTGGAAACAGTGTCCAAAGTTTCCAATAAATTTTCGCATGAGAAAAAAATATCCGAATTGCGAAAATACATAACTTTATGTTTGTGCATAATTTTGCATGACCGGATAAAATAGGCATATTTAGAGGAAATTTTTAAGATAATTCATCAGTGAAATTTTAAGTGCTGTGGAAACACGGCCTAAAAAGCATAGAAGGTTGTGAGACTGAATTGAAAGAAGATCTAATCATTGGCATGAACATATACAGTAGTATTATCCTGTGAATTGACTACAGCATTTTACCTCAACATGACACTTGAATAATCATTCTTGTTTCTCACTTCTGACACGTAAGTGACCTTCACACTCGCAATGAGCATTCCATTGGCCATGTTACTCAACGCTGGTGTCCTGTGTTGAGTTTGTAATCACACATCTTGCATTTCTTTAATTCAACAAGCTTTTTCAACATACCTGTATCTACTGAACTATAAGGTTGTATGACGAATTGAGAACTTGCGAAAATCGCCCCTACATATTGGATTTAGAGGCAGAAGAGCCAAAAAGTTCCATATTCAGCCAAAAATAAATGCTCATATTCAGTTGTTGACAATCAACTATTTTGGGATTAAACAATTTTGCCTAATAATTTTTAAATGCTTCTGAGAGTACAGGATTAATTGCTAATTGTTGCTTAATATATTGTTTAGATTTAAATTTTCTTAAATATTGTCTAATGTTGGTAATGTTTATTGCATCCCTGCCACAAGCATGTTGCTTTTTAGGTGATGCCACCATGTTCTTGGTATTATTTTATAATGGAAATGGAAATGTTATGTTATTGATTGAATTGAAAATTGAAATATGTATTGTTACCGTAGGCCTATGTTAATTTCTATTATTGGAAGAATATGTACAGAATAGTAAATAGAAAAAGCTGTGTATATGTTCTGGTATGTCTACAGTAGTCCATATGCTATTGTGATATCAATGCTATAATTTATTAGGTAACTAATGTTAAGTTGAATTTAAAAAATATTTTGTGATAATCTAGATACAATGCAGGCGACTTCATTCTGTGGTAAGCTATTTTTTACCACTTACAGTATAAGTGAGTTTGGCTGAATATATAAAGGAATGTAGAAAATGCTATTTAGTTTTAGCTGGTTGAATATTAAATCCCATTGACAGGAGTAAGGCTCAAGAGGTTGAGTGTAGCTTTCACATAAACAAAATAAATATAACTTATACAATTAATAAAAAACATTTACTAAAGATGAAACACCAGCATAAATTACTGAAAGATTTCATTAACCCTACACTTGCAGAACCATTCAAGATGTTGATAACCAAAAGTAAAATTACATACATACAGTGCAAAAGGCATAGGCATACAAATGTAAATATCCACCTTCAAATCCAATTCATAAATATTACAGTGCACCCTTCAATTCGAGACCACTTTTAACACAAAGCTTACCCTACCTGTACACAGGTAATTTAAGACTGAACACTGAGACCACCACAAACTTTCAGGTTCCTAAGTGGTCTCAAATTGAAGGGCGAAACTGTATAATGTTCTCTATTAATTGTTAAAGTTTATTACTGTACATTGAGTACTGTAGCTGAGTTGTTACCTATGGATACTATTTAGAATGTTGTCCAAGTACCTGACCTTCTCCTGGCGTTAAATCTCTCGTTGATTGAGACATATCAAAGCGAAGCAGAGAATGTTTAGACTTGGAATCCCAAGCAGCTTGATTTATTTGCCACTCACTACCAGTAAATTTCGACATGACATATTGTAAATAGCGATCTTGACTATACAATTAAATTGTGAAGAGTTTTACAAAGTTCATATAAATTAGTTGAGGAAGTATTTAATGCCAACGCTTAATTGTTTTTATCATTTTGTATTTCAACTTCCGTAATGTAAAAATATTTCCGATTAAAATAGGCAAATTAATACAAAAAATAGTATATGAATGATATAATTTAATTTTATTATGTTATTTTCCAATGGCATTTTGCATCAAGAGAAATATACTAATCGGTGTTTGCCCTACAGTACCTCATAGTACTATAGTGTTGTAGCGCTGAATGCAGTGTTTGAGTGCTTTAGAGTCCAGGCTACCGTAGTTATCTGTAGATCGTGGATTCGATTCCCACCCAAATCACTTGCAAGATTTTTTTTCCGCAAGCATATGGGAACGTACTAAGCATCATGTATTATAACACGTCATGGGCAAAAACCGATTACAGTAGTATATTATTTTTTTTATTCTTTTTTTTTATGTTTTGGAATTCTACAGTAATATGGAATAAAAATACAGGATTTGTCATAAAAATGTTGCATGATGTGATTAATGCTGACTATATTATATTACATGAATGCCAGTAGATTAATAATTGATTTGATATATGAATTTTGATTTATTGATTAGCATCTGGATATGTTCAATATGAGCCTACAGTATGTTAGTGTCACATTTCTCTCAATTATCTGCAATTTTCAAGTGAATTATTCAATTATGGATGACCAATACAATGTATTCCAAAAAAAGGTTAAATTTATTTGAATGTTTTTTATCTGTAGGTGACGAAGATGTCGATGATTTGGGAATTAGCGGTTCACCATTGGACATCACCACACAAGATGAAGTTATCAGTCCTTTGGCTAAGCTCCATAAATATATTGATAGTGAGAATATTTTCAATAGGTAAGTTTCAATAAACACAATTTAAATTTTTCATTTCTATTTTTTCACCATTTTTTTCTGAAGATTTGATTTTATCTATCTCATCACTTTTCAGTAATAATATTCTTTATATTTGCACATGGTTGTCGTAATTCTACCTCACTTCATCCTTCAGTACTTCTTTGAAATGTAAAAATCCTGAACATCTCTGTTGTGATCGGCTTTGATAGATATCATGCATAACCTCACTTGACATCTGGGTCCTCCTGCTTACATAATTCTACCTCACTTCATCCTTCAATACTTCTTTGAAATGTAAAAATCCTGAAAATCTCTGTTGTGATTGGCTTTGATAGATATCATGCATAACCTAACTTGACTTCTGTGTCCTCCTGCTTACATAATTCTACCTCACTTCATCCTTCAATACTTCTTTGAAATGTAAAAATCCTGAACATCTCTGTTGTGATTGGCTTTGATAGATATCATGCATAACCTCACTTACCTCCTGCTTACGCAGATGTGACGTAAGTATTCACGGATAAGTTATTCATCACGAATATAACGCTGGCTGGTGGTCAGTTTTCGCGCCTCAAATAATCAATGTGAGGTCATCTGCATTGACCTACGCCGTCCAATTGTCCAATCGATGACAAGCAGTGGGTTCAAATCAGGAACAGGCGCCCTCCTGCGGTGTATGACGAATGCTAACTGATTGTTGTAATGGGACACAGCTGCGTTGGATTGTACTTAGTTGAATGTGTAGAGCGTATTAACTGTGAACATGGAACGTGTAGCTAAACATTCCGCGATGGGGCATCACCTCCGTTGGTCATGGATGTGGTTTGTGGTTTATATTTAACTTTTATTTTCATATTTGTGAGCACTCATATTTTGCCAAGACACCCTTATTAAAAATTCATATCTCATTTATAATTTTCTGAGTCATTAGATATTCTTAAAATAATAAAGTCGGTTACCTATTAATAACATAAATAAATGTAATATAATGACATGTACATGATAAAGATATGAAGATAGATAATATTATATGTATTATAAAAACTAATTATATACATAAAATTTCATTTCCTTCTCTTTATGCTTAAGTATAAAAGCCTGCATACATAATATATACAAATTAAATACAATATATATATATATATATATATATATATATATATATATATATATCTCCGCCCACAACAGCTGTCTCTTATACACATCTATATATATATATCATCAAAGCCTACGATATTCCATCATGTTCTTATTTAAAACACTGTATATGTACCTTTGATGATTTATATTATATTTAATCAACAGTGTTAACGGCTAACTCCCTTTAATATCATAATATAATATACAACAGTATTTCTACCCGTATTGCCAGATTTATTTGGCCGAACGCCCTCTTGAGGCGTAGCATTGTGTAATACAATGTTCCCGGCGGTTATTTGGACATGTTCAACCATGAAGCCTTCGTGGTCTAGTGGTTATGACGCTCGCCTTGTCAGCGAGAGGTCACAGGTTTGAATCCGGAGACATTTTATTACACAATGACTTTTATAGGACTTTATTCGTTCAAAAGCTACAGAGTAGCCTACGATGTTCCATCATGTCCTTATTTAAACACTGTATATGTAATAGTATATATTATATGAATTGAAGGGCTAAGTAGCAATGGCAATTATAGTAACAATAATTAACTTGTTTTTATTCAATATACTGGTGGTAGTATTATTTTTGTGCAATGACATGCTAAACACCAAGGGACAGTTCACGTGTTTAAGCCATATGCTTCTTAACTTCCCCTTCTTAAGCACGAATCCCTAAGGAGACGACTTGGATAGAACTGTTGTAATCTCTCTTCTATGAATATTTTGAAATTCCACTCGCACTCTCAGTAAGCTCAAAGATACATTTAATTGCACCTACTGTATAATATTGATAAATAATAAATAGTGGTACTTTTTTTGTCATGTGCATATAGTAGGTCAAATGGATTTAAATTGCATTTTGGCAGTCCAACTATGTTTGTGTGTTACCATTAAAAGTAAAATCTAGTTCAATTAAATTTGCAAAATACACTTCCTCTACCAAAAAAATATTCTTGTATTTTGTCTTTTTCAACACTGTATACCCCATCATTTTGATGTAAAATATGACACCTCACATTTAGTTGCCTATATTAACTATTTCAAGCCGTCTAGAGTACTTCACACTTTTATCGTGCTACCACAAAAATTGTCACATACATCCCAGCAATTTCTCACATTCCATGCCCTACACATTCATGTATAATATTCCTGCTTGTCAACCTAAAATATTATTTGTTTGATTTCTAAACAGTAGTCAAGGATTTTTCTAAGGGTGAATATCTCTGCATTTGAGACCCATTCTTAATTTTCATTTTTAATTTTTTGAATTTTATATTGCATTTGGCTACAATCCTGCTGCCTTCATCGGTTAAATTTATTTATTATATAATTTGAAAAATGGTGTTCACAATATTCTCTGTTATTTTACTTTGCGCTCATCATATTTTGATAGACTTTAATAGAAACCTTAGAAGCTATTAGTGACCTCAGAGATGTCGAAAAGTTCCCGCTAGTTTGAAGACGGTCCCTGATCGTACCATGCTAGTCCACGACCTTGATGTTATTCTCTTCGCACGTTCTTTCACAAAAAAAATTGTTGAAGCGCCGAAGAATGGACAAGACAGGTGTTTGTATAGCGTTTTTTTCTTTTATCTCCGTTGCACTAATGACCTTGCACCAATTTGCTGTGCAAAATTCCTCCGCATTTGCTTTGCATGCCCTCTGCTGCATTATATTCTTGTTCCCTGGGCATGGGAAAAATGTAAGCTAACCAACTCGCACAGCAGGCTACCGTGAATACTAAGTGACTGCAGCCCTTCTGGCAGATCATGATTGGTCGGTTTGGATCATGTGAGACAAGTTTACCGCCATTTTGGTATCTTCCTGCAAGGTCCTGATAGTGCCTGATCAGTTAGTTATTTTAGCATTGGGTGTTCGACACGGTAAGTCGCTTCCTACCTGATATCCAGCCCAGAACCTGTAACTGAGACCAGCCAGCCAATACCTTACGGCACTTAAATTACATCCACCAAGGACTTGGTCAGAAGCTCTTCCAGCCTAGGCTAGAGATTAAAATTGTGCCATACGCTAGGACATTACAAAGATTTTTGGAAGTAGTGTATATCTGGATAAGATGGAGACTGGAAAAGACCATGGGAGATTGGCTCTAAGTTCTTACTGTCAACCTAACCATTTGAAGTCTGCATCAAAGTCATCCACAGCTGGATCCTGTTGGAAGTACAACCACATAAAATATGTATTGTCTCTAGTGTTTGTGGAATGGTACATTACATGATGCAAGATTAGGAGGTAAATTGGATCCTTTAGGATGGCAATTTTGCTGAATTGTACAGATGTGAGAAGAATGTATGCAAGAATATCTTTTTCATTCTGTCACTTCCTCTCGTTCTATCGCTACATCATCATCATGTAAATTGTGAGTTTTCATGTTATTATCACCATCTGCTATTAGATTTCATAGAATACTGCGCAACAGACCAAAAATATGGGTGTGTCTGACAATAGCGGGCGCTTTACCTTTTTGGGGGACTGCTGCGTTTATCTTGCCCAGATGCTAACAGCGTGTATTGGTTGCTCGTGACATGAATCTCAGCATGATACAAGGGTCGGGGTAATTGCTGATTAAGATGTCTGGCTGGCACAGAGTGGCTTACTCTATGCTGACCGACTGCCCCATGCCTAAGGGTCAAAAGAAGTATCATATTGCTGTCCTGCTCCAAAGAAAATACAATTAGTGTTGAGGACCTGGAGGGCTCAAGGTTTTGCTTGACTTTTGAAATTTTGCCGCAAGCAGTAATCTATCCTACCATGTTTATTGTCTATCTTTATCATTCGGCCTTTAAAGGTTACCAACTTTATGAATTGGGTAATTAGTTGTGTTTTAATGAGGTTGGTGATAATATATTTTTCCTCACTTTTATTTTTATCTATCCCAATTTCTGACTTCTTTAATTTTTTGCTGCTAGCTATTTTCATTATCCCAATTTGTGCAGGTACTAATTAATTTTGTATCTATTTTTATCAGGCAAATGGTGGCAAGGTCTCTTTTGGATACCCTAAGGTCTGTCTGTGAGGATCCAGATGAAAAGACTATGGTATTAAATGCAATGGTGCGGTTATCAGAGGATATGGGTATGTGTTTAAAATTTCAATAATCTATTGTCAAAAACCCCTCTAATTAAAGACCACCTCTTATTAAGGATCCCTCCATTAAAAATGCCCTCTTAATTATAGATGCCTCCATTAAAGATGCCCTCTAATTAAAGATCTCTCCATTAAAAATGCCCTCTAACTAAAGATCCCTCCATTAAAGTTGCCCCTAATTAAAGATCCCTCCATTAAAGATGCCCTCCAATTAAGGATCCCTCCAATTAAAGATGCCCTCTAATTAAAGAGCCTTCCATAAAGACACCCTCTAATTAAAGATCCCTCCATTAAAGACACCCTCTAATTAAAGATCTCTCCATTAAAGACCCCCTCTAATTAAGGATCCCTCCAATTAAAGATGCCCTCTAATTAAAGAGCCTTCCATAAAGACACCCTCTAATTAAAGATTCCTCCATAAAGACACCCTTTAATTAAAGATCTCTCCATTAAAGACCCCCTCTAATTAAAAAGCCCTCCCTTAAAGATGCCCTCCAATTAAAGATCCCTCCAATTAAAGATGCCCTCTAATTAAAGAGCCCTCCATTAAAGATGCCCTCTAATTAAAGATTTCTCCATAAAGACACCCTCTAATTAAAGATCTCTCCATTAAAGACCCCCTCTAATTATAAAGATCCCTCCATTAAAGACGCCCTCCAATTAAAGATGCAATCTAATTAAAGATCCCTCCATTAAAGATGCCCTCTAATTAAAGAGCCCTCCAATTAAAGACACAATTAAGTACCTTCTACTATAATTATAGACCACCTCCAATTAATGACCACCTTTCTTAGCCCCAAAATAAAATTTTTATTTTCATAAGAATAATTTTTTACATGACATGACAGCCCCGGTCCCAAAAGTGGTCCTTAATTGGAGGGAGACCTGTATTTTTATTTATACAGTATCTATATATTTTAATGTTTCATAAATAATTACTTAGTTGAATAACAAGCATAAAATAATAAAGAAAAGTGAAGAAACCATGGCATCTTCATCGTATTTAACTCTAATTTTGCCACTTAATTACATTTTGGGAGGGGGACAGGTTGTTTGTCAAGTGTTCATTGCATTGCCTTCTTTTGGAACTGTGGATATTTCAAACATTGTTTGATGCAATTTGGCATGCTATTATCATGCCAGATTTTATTGAATAAACTTCAAAATTTGTAATTTCATTCTTTGAAGTGGATAAAAGGGAGCTTTCGATTGGTGCGTCGACGCGATGCTAGAACGGAATCACTCATGCGTGACCGTCCTACCTGTCGTTCTACGTTCTCTGCATGTGTAGATTTGGCCAAATTGCATTCCAGAATCTGCTAGACGAGGTGACCTTAACGTTCTCGCATGCACAGATGACTTTTAGTGGGGTCATTATGTTCTACGTCGTACCGTCGGCTTGCAAAGCTCCCTAGTGATGAGCAAAGCAGAGGTTAATTTTCAAGTGATTACTGTAGCTATAATTATGGTTTTTGAATGGAGCTGAAGATTAGTAGTTTACTGGATTGGACACCTTGGGACACCCCAAGGATAACCGATGAAAATCAGATTTCCAATTGGATCCTCCTGGTAGTCAATCAGACAATCCCATACTCTTTTCTGAAGAGTGTACTGAGTCATATTGCACACGAAACAATGGCTTAAGGTTCTCATTACCATATATTAAGCACTAAGTCTGAAACTATGGCTTTGTGGTTTAGATGCCCGTCTTTTTATTTGAGGTCTGGGCTCAAACCACATAACTGCGTCCAGATGATGTCAACTTGCTCGCTTTTAGGTATAATTAAGAATAATTACATTTTAAAGCAGAGGGAAAAATCAACAATTCAATGAAACTTTTGTTTTCTTCAGAACCATCGGTTCGGGCGGAAGTCATGGAACAGATACCACACATAGCAATGCTATGCCATGAATACCATCACCATTTCTCTGGTACGGTTCCAGATTATGTGCTACCAACGGTTGTACGCTATCTTACCGACACAAACCATCAGGTGTGTTTATTTAGTTCACTCTTTTAAGTCCCCAAAGTACAGTACTACAGTATTATTTCTAACATTTACATAGGCAGATTCAAAGGGGCCCCAGCCCTGCCTCCCTGCGTCTTCTCTATTTCAAAATCTTGGATCTGCCACTGATTTGAAAATAAAAAAAGATTATTGTTTTGTTTTTTTTTTACTTTTATATATTTTTTGCACTGCTTATGTGATAAATCAAATTGTTATTAACCTAAATTTTCTTAATACTTGTGTCAAAAGAAATGCCCTCATAATTCGTTAAAAAAGTTTGTCATAAAGAAATTAAAAAAATAAATTTAATAGGAATGTGTTATAATGACAGAAGTTTTTTGTGTTTTCTCAGGTACGTAAAACAAGCCAAGCAGCATTGCTGGTGCTTCTGGAGCAGGAGCTTGTTGAGACCGGTGACGTTGAGATGCAAGTCTGTCCAGTCATTGTCCAGCTATCAAACCAAGAAAGTGCTGATGATTACCGGACAGAGGCTGTAGCAGTAAGTCTAACTTTTAGGTTCAGGTTCAAAAGTTAAGACACTTCATGATCTTGCATTAGCTTGCAAGATGGGGTTTAGAGGCTGAGCTAGGCTAGATTAGGCTAACCTAGCTTGTGATAAAGTAAGACAGACTAAGAGGCTAAAAGTCAAGAACTGGGCGAAGTCCAGCTGAATATTATCTGTTTATCTCAAAAACTTATCTATGATGAATATTCTTACAAATTTGTTTATATTACATAACACAAAGGACCAGAATAACCCAAAAAGTAGTAATACTCTAAAAAATATATAGTCCTAGAATAAAATATATTAAGAAGCTTAAGATAGTATAATACATACTCCAAGTATCGAAATGCACAGCATCATGTCAGGATTCAATATTTTAACATTAATTATGTCATCATCAGAAATGAAAAATTATCCATATTAGTAGGTGACATAACTATGAAAAAACTAGATCAAAGCATTCCTACCCAACTGATTAGCTATGTCACCTACTAGTGGTAATGTTTTGATTGGTCAAACACTTTTGGTACTTGTGCATATAAGCTTGCAAATATGGATAATTTTTCATTCCTTATGATGACATAATAAATGTTGAAATATTGAATCCTGACACAATGGCGTGCATTTCGATACTTGGAGTATGTATTATACTATCTTATCTGAGATTAATCAGTAGACCTTTCGGTTTTACAGAAACTTCATACGTAGTAATTCTACCTCACTGGTTTGGTACATAGTAATTCTACCTCTCACTGGTTTGGTATTTGACCTTTTAAATTATACCTGTAGCGCCCTCTGTTGGTTGTGTTGCATATGGTAACATTATTGTGTCTGGAGTCATTGAGTAGACTTTAATGAGTTTTCTTGGTTTTCCTGAATCACGATGGCCTTGCAGATGTTCTAACATAATGATTGGTGACCTTTGACAGAGTGATGGAAGCTGATCTGATCTTTGTTTGACCTTTGATCTTTGAAGCTCATCTTAGAGAAGTGGTGAGAGTGACCTTTAGCAAGTCCTTGAAGCTAATCTGGAAGATATGATAATGATGCCTTTGACAGTCATTGAAGAGGTTGATCTTGAAGATGTGAAAGACATGGGTAGTGAGATTGTATTTTGGAATCATCTCGCTACCTTGTCTCTCCGCATTCTTGAGATTACAGCACCATCAAAGCAAACAGTTTATGCAGATTCAGAGTTGGGATATATTGGTCCATATAGAATCTTTTTTCCGTCCTACTCATGTTCAACCATTAAAACAAAAATAACATAGAACTTAAGTAGATAACACACAGGCAAAAATTTAATATTTTTGTAAGAGTTGTGTAATGAAATAAAATCAAAACTTAAATATTTATACGAGTTGGATGAAATGTTATAAAACTATTGTTAGAAACTACATTGTTACAAAAGACAGGTGAGTAAATATGTTTATAAGTTGAATAAACAGTAGATTTATATTAAAATTCATTTGTTAATTAATATTTTATATTTTTAGTTGATGAGCAAAATGGCACCATTGGTGGGAAGAGGAATCACAGAGCGTCTGTTTCTACCCCAGTTCAGTGAACTCTGCAGAGATCCATTGTTCCATATACGAAAAGTGTGTGCTGCTAATTTTGGGGACATATGTGGAGTGGTCGGAATAGAAGCTACAGAAAAAATATTAGTAAGTATTTACTTGCTTTAATTACTATTTACATGAACTAAAATTCTAAAATCAATATTGGATTTTATAACATCACAACTATGTTTGGAGTGGGATGTAGATTGGTGGTTAAGGTGATTGCCTTTTAATACCACAGGTACTGGGTTCAGATCCTAAGCCTACTGTCTGAAATTTGATTGTTGTTAATTAAATTTGAATCGGGTTTATTCCTGCTATTTTGATGATTGTGATTAGACAAGCTCTGACTCAAAACGTTATAAACATGATTAATTTGTCCGTAACGGTTTCATCTATTTCTATTAATTCATCGTTGACGAGGTTAGAACTTGGAACAGATGCAAATGGCATCCACACCTTGTTGGAAGTGTTGGGAAACAACACACTGGAGAATTGTAAATAGGTAATAATCAGTGGACCGGCTTGATTATGTTATTCTTAGTGACAGGCATGAATCACTATTGACATCAGAAAATGAAACATACAGAATGACTCTCCGGTGAGACCGGCTTCATGTGTCAATAATTCCTTCCATGATATGAAATCAAGGGAATTTAAAAAATGTTCAGTTCAATTCAATATTGCTAGTTTCAACATAATTTTACATTGCATAGAACATGCTGTAGCTAAATACACTTTGATATTGGTTGCTGCAAAAATATAGTGATAGTAAAAGTTAAGAAATTTATGCAAACTGTGATATAATGTAGGCACTTATATTGTGACTCAGATAATTAATACACTTTTTATTGGGATAGTGACCCTTTTTTTGTGCTCTTAATGAGATGAATATTAATCTATTTGTCATTTTACTGCATACAGTCAAATCTACTTTAACTCATGTTCTTGATCTGTCCTGGGTTTGTTCAAATTTACTTATAGATTAAATTAGATATTACTATTAGAAATTTATTAAGTGAACTTTCCAAAAGGTCTAATCTCCATCACAAATTTGCAAGCAAGCTTTTCTGATTTCCCTCAACAATGATAACTAATATCTTCAATATATACTTAATTCCTTCTTTTTGTTTTAGTTACCTCGTTTTGAAGAACTGTGCGAGGACGGTGTGTGGGGCGTACGCAAGGCATGCGCTGAATGCTTCATGGGGGTCTCTTACTCTGTCTCCCAAGAAACTCGCAGAAGCGAACTTTCACCTCTATTTGTTAAACTTTTGACGGACCAGTCAAGATGGGTAAGGATAGTTTCTAGTTAACAATCTGTCTTACATTTAGTGAGCATTCCAATTTTGAAAATATTGTTATCAAGACAGGTGTTTTAGACCTAAATAGGTTTGTCAGCTGGCAAAAAGAGGAAAATTAATTATAATAATAATCAGCATTAGCGCATTAAAACTTAGTATTAGGTAAGGTTCATACAATAATTACAATGATTGTGGTAATAATAATGATAATCCACAGAATAATGTTTACCTTTTACTCATTACAGGTTCGTATGGCTGCCTTCCAAACATTAGGTCCTTTTATTTCCACTTTTGCTGACCCTCTCGTTTCTGGCTTTGCAATCACAGAAGACGGTGTTCTTTCAGTTGTCAATTGTTCGGTGCACGAGCAACAACCGACAGAATCTTCGGAAACTGTTAAATCGCAGGAGTCTAGTTCATCTTCCAATTTAGATACTAATGCAAGGACTAGCAGCTCTGACGAATCACAAACTGAGACCTCAACTTCCGAAGATTCTCGGACAGAAAACTGTAATGGTGTTAATAGCACCATGATATTTTTGAATAAGAAATTTTCCGATGGAAAAGGAAGCGCAGAGGAGTCTGTGTCTTCTGATGAAGGGACAGAAAAGAGTAGTGAAAGCACAGTAAAAACAAATAATAATGGGATGCATCGGGGAGTGGGTCATGTAGAATTTAAATTGGACTCTTCTAATGATGCCGGGTCATCTAAGGAATATGATGAATTCTTATACTGGCGACAACCTCTTGGATATATTGAAGAGGATGTCTTTGAACCCTCTGATCCTGCAGAAGAACTAAATCCAGATGAAAACATTTTTTCATACACAAAGACGAAAGAAGAGCTGGAGTCAAAGTTGCAAGAGTGTGAGGAGGGATTCTCTCAGAAGAGTCTCAACGGTCTTGAAAACTTTGTGTCCGAATTCACTTTAGAAACAACGGAAGATTCCACCGAGTCGGAGGTCACAGAAGAGGAAGGCGCAGAAAACAGTAAGATTCACAAAGCATCAGTGAATGAAGTGAACGAAATCACGGATACAGTATCAAATATCGCTAGTACGCGGTTCATTGGCCAGCGGCTAGATGAGAAGACAATGACCCTGGTGAATGGCATAGATCCAGATGATGAAGTGAAAGAATGGTCAGATCCAGATAGCAAAATAAAAACTTTCATCAATACTCCAAACCTTAGTAAAACACAGGTAATTGTAACTTGATATATAGTGCAATGTCACTGTATATTGTCACACCACTTTGTCCCCAAACAAATACTAATCGCTCAACTTCACATGTTTAATAGCATTTTCAACTGATGTACATCAAACAAAGTTTTCAAATAAAAAAAATGTAATAAAAACATAAGGGTTCACCATATTAGATATCCAGTTAATATTAAATTTAATTCTACAAGGCACAAAATTGTAGTTTTAGTATAGTTGTATATCATACACTATTAAAGTTATTATTACTATTTTTAATAATTATTAATGTTGTTATTTTTACTTTATATATTTTATTGTTATTATGACGATGCATTTAATGCAAGTATATCCACTGTTATTAAGAGTGGCTACATTATAGATTTTTATAATTAGTATTACCATGGAGGTATTATTGAGAAGGAGATCACTCGGCAACAGATCCCTTTGACGCGACAAACCTATGTGTTCCCCGCTTTTGCATCACGCGCGGGCGTATTACCCTATAATTCACATTTTTTCGTTAGCAACAACTTGGCAACGACATGCATTTATACGCTTCCAGCAGAGCATTTGTGCAATAAAACGTTTGATTTTAACCCATTAAATATCTTTATAATGAACAATGTTCCCTTGATTAGATTTTTTTGGGCTTTTGGTATGTTATTATTTGTATATTTCAGGAACGGATTCCGTAAAATATTTGTGTTAAAATTACTTCTGTGTTCAATTCTGTCTAAAGATTGACTGGTTCGACTATAAAGCTAAGTCAGTGTAAAACTGAAAAATACTCAGATTCTTTATTGAATACTAAATTACAAATTTTAATAGCTTAGGTGTTTGTGTTTTTGTATTTAATATTGAAATTAAATTTACATTTTTAATAATGTAAGTCGAATAAAAAAAACTGAACTGAACTTTATGGAAAAGATTCAATAATTTGATACCACTATGGTAAAATAGTTTCGATTCACTATCTGGTATGACTATGGACTGAGTATTTCATGTTATGATATAGTTAACAGTCTTGGCAAACATATATATTGAAGTATTTAGGAGCAAATTTATGATATACCAGTTACCATGTAAATAGCTAACATATGGAAATGCATTGTGCATATTGTTTTGGTAAACCTACTCTATATAATAGCATTATTCCACCATATGGCAACCTTGCTCCCTAGAGAAATAATAATTATTTATATCTCTTGTTTTTCCTACATCAAAATACAATTTTTTGTACTAGGACTTTGGGACTACTTTGGTATACTTAACATGAAAGCAACTATTCTGAGATATTAGCACAATAATGGTGCTATATTGATATTGAATTATTATTATTATTATTACTGTCTCTTATACACATCTAGATGTGTATCTGTGTTCATTATAATTTTGTCTAAAGATTGACTTGTTCCACTATAAAGCTAAGTCAGTGTAAAACTGAAAAATACTCAGATTTTGGAATCATTTTTCGAATAGTTAACCCTCGTTAACCCTGAAATGACTTAGTTTATTATAATCCTTAATCATTTATAAATTAATATCTGTTAAAATTAGAATGGGTGAATTTAGACGAATTTATGAAAATTGAAGTTGAAATATACTATACTTTTATAGGTCATGTAAATGTTCCATTAAATTCGAAACTTTTCTTGGTGGAAAATATTAATATGTTTGATATTTTATGAGAGATGAATGTATCAGCTTCAAAATAAAAAAGATTGCGCAGCCATAGTGATTGACAGTATGTAGTGCGCATTGAGAAAAGAAGGTGCTCTCCATTTCGTCATGTTCAATTTTTTGGTCAACTATGCCTGTTTAAAATTTGATGGCGGGGAACACATGGGACTTCAAAGGCATTGCGCAAACGTTCTTTACGCGCTGCGGCAACTTTGATCTTGGTTCATTTGCATAGCGCTGCGTGCGCGTAGCTTTGCCGAGTGATCTCCTTCTCAATAATACCTCCATGGTATTACTATCATTAACTGTTTAATTATCCTTTCACTGTAGTTATTGTTTAATTATAATTCTTTTCCAACAGCATGTGATACCATGTGAGTTACTGGAGCAATATTTAAACATGATAGAACCCAGTAAATCACAGACTGTAGATACTGAAATAGCCAAGCACTGTGCGTTCAGTTTACCTGGTGTGTCTCTAACATTAGGTCGTCGGAACTGGAAGTGTTTGAAAGAGGTTTACGACACTCTAGCAAGTGATATGCAGGTAAGAAATTTCTTCTTATATTCTTAAGCAGTAAAAAGTAATATTGCCTTTATAGGACAGTAATTTGTTTAAATTGACAACCAATAAAGAAATAAGAAGAAATATAACACAAGGGGGCAGTGTTCATATGTTGGTATTGTTCATCTATTATAATCATGGAAAATTAGCAATAGAGGGCAGTGTTCATATTTTGCATTGATGATCATCATATGTTGCAGTTATGGTTCAGGTGGAAAATTCAATTCACAAACAGCTGTAATAACTTTGGCTGATAGGATGGTGTAAATAACTTTGATAAAAGATGGTCTCAATTTCAAATTGTGAACAATGTGTGTCCCCACCTGTTGTAACCATACCTTTGAGTTCCAAATGTTATCAAATCTTAAAATTCCTGATCTATTCATAACATTTAGTATAGTCTTCAGTAAAGCCCTGTCTATACTATGTGACATGCCTAAATATGGTCATGATGACATCACATTATGAACATATATAGGCATATCATGACCATATATGGGCATACTACAGTTTTTTGGCAAAGGAAATTTGACAGAGTTTAACATGTGGGTCCTGTTTTACTTGTAGTGGAAAGTCCGCCGCACTTTAGCGTTCTCCATCCACCAGATGGCAGTGATCCTCGGTGATGAAATAACGACCACAGATCTGGTGCCGGTCTTTAACAGCTTCTTAAGGGATCTAGATGAGGTTAGAATAGGTGTTCTCAAACACTTTGCAGATTTTATCAAGGTAAATAAAAAACAAAAAACTTGCTTTTATGTGTAATAGAGCAGTTGCTCTGCTATGGTGCTAAATTCCCCTAAAGGTCAGGGTTCATTTGAAGAATCCCATAGTAAGACCTGTATCTGTGTAAGTATATACAAAATTTTAATAACATCCAATAACAATATTTGCATCAAATTTCCAAGTTACTGACTCATTTATCTGCATTTTATTTTATGTTCAAATCAATTCTAGATTTATGATGTTGATAATGACACAAAATATTAAATTGTACATAAGTATTTAGCTTGAAATCAGTGCATTCAAATGTTTTTGTGATCATTATGTTAAAATGTATTTATGGATTGTTTTGTTTGTCCTGTCCAAACTCTCAAATTTTATTTGACCAAAACACATGACATGCCTAAATATGGTCTTGACGACATCACATGACCATATATAGGCACATCATGACTATATATCGGCATACAACAGTTTTTTTGTCAAAGAAAATTTGTGTAGGCGGAGCTTTATGTTTACTGACTGATGATGTTCTTTCAGCTTCTGAAACCAGATTTACGACGTCAATACTTGATGCGAATGAATGACTTCCTGACAACAGACAACCAAAGAAATTGGCGCTTCAGACAGGAACTAGCAGAGTATGTGTTAAACTGCACTTATATTCTGAAGACATGCTTTCTGAAACTGAAATGAAAATTTTAAACATATTTAAATGTTTGAAGTTTTGTAATTTTCAAATTGAATGTACAAATTAAATGAATGAAATATTGAATTTTGTAGTTGGTTTATTACCTCAAAAACATTAATTTTTATTTTTGTTGTCTTTGGCATTTTTTCCATACATCTTCAAGAAATTCAGATTTACATTTTATTTTCTACCTTAATTTTGCTCTTTAATATTTCATTAATGATTTCTAGCATATGTGGTGAATTTAAGTTCTGAAAATAAAAAATTGGTAATACTATATATGGTTATGAAATTCTATATTCTCTCTTGATTTTAACAGGCAATTAATTTTCATGTGTGATCTGTACAGTGCTAATGATGTGTGCGAGTTCCTCTTCCCGATTGCATTGACGTTAGCAGGCGATAGGGTAGCGGATGTCAGGTTTCTGGCATATAAGTTGGTAAGACTGGATTTGTGCAACCATTTCAAAGAGGATATTGAAATATCTTCTGGTCCCGTATGCAGTTAACTTGTCCAAAGAATTAAATTTTATTTTCTAAAAGCATGTAACATACCTTAATATGGTCATGATAACATCAATTCATGACCATATATAGGCACATCATGACTATATATGGGCATACAACAGTTTTTTAATCAAATAAATTTGGAAGTCTGGACGGAGCTTATTAAAATGTATAACATGATGAAGCACCGTTCACTAGTGTCGTCCTAAAAGGGCTTTATTTACATATTTCACCCACCCATTCGGATCCCATAAAATAGACTAACTAGCTAGCTGTGTGTTCACTAAACGTTCCATTCCTTTAGTATTTCCTTTTTATATTTTACCTATAGCTTGGTGTGGTGTTGAAGCGGCTAAACTCGGCCGACAACCCAGCTCTTATAAAGTCCTTCGTTGATGACATCGTCACAAAATACGCCAGGAATGGCAGGTGGTTTGGAAGACAAACGTAAGTTTAAAACTCTGACCAATTTGATGTTATAAAAAAAAAAACCAATGCCCATATTTGGGTGTAATATGACATTATGATGAATTATGTGCACTAATTTGCAACAATTTTTTTGTGCTTTACAGATTTGCACACCTATGTCACAGTCTGTTGGAGCAACAGTCACTTGAACCCCACCTTTTCCTGGAGTTCTTCATGCCTAGTCTACTGACCCTTAAAGAGGACCCAATTCCCAATGTGCGCATTGCACTCGCCCGGTTACTGACACAGGAGGTTGTTGCTTCAGGTAAGATATTGTGTTATTATGAAGTTACATTTCAAACAAATATAAATAAGTAGGTTATTTATATATTCACCAGGAACAAACACTTGAGGAAATCAAAGTCGCATTACTGTGCGTTTCACACTTGTGTCCTTGAGCTATATAAATACTAAAATAACAAATAACAAAAATAACATTGCATAATGCTTTCTTGTTCACATCCAGGGTCCCATTTCAACATACTTCCTGGTTCAGATCCAGGGACCCATTCTATCAATCATCCTTTTGTTAAAATCCAGGGTTAGGGAATGCACTTACACAAGAAGTAACAATTCAACCTTTGAGCAGTACTTAATTCAAATTTTGCAATCTATTTGTTGTAAGCATCTGCAAACAGACCAGTATTCATCAAACACAATGGCGTATAAACTTTTATTACTAAATATTATTTTATTATAGTTAAGTGGAATTGTAAGGTTGTGATTGAAATCTGGCAATAACTCAACCAATAATTCACTCCTGAAACTCCATAAAGAGATTTTGTAAAAAGAGTATCAAAATTGCCCTTGGGGGCTCAGGTGGAAAAATACCCTGTTACTGATCCAACTGAACTATATTATTGATTTCAGTTCCCTAATATTGTGGTTTTAAAAACACAATTTTTATCATTGTGAAGGAAAATTTAAATTCAGTTCAGTTTTAGTATTATGTAAAAGAGGGTCTAACAATATTTGTTTTGGGTACATTTTTTTAGGATATTTTAAGAATGCTGGAAAGGATAAGCAACAGATAGTTGAAGACACCCTAGACACGTTGAGGTCAGATAAAGACAGAGATGTGCGATTCTATGCCAGTCTTATACAGATATCCCAGGACCAATATGTAAGTACCGTTCTTAAAGACTTTGCTTAATATTAGCTTATTTATGGTCAGTTACAGACAATATTATTCATTTTAAGCTATTATCAACAATTATTTAACTATTTACTATTGTAGTTTTCATATATATTCTAAATTTTATGTGAATTAATAATAATAATGATGATAACTTTATTTTGTAAAGCGCAAACAATATTCACTTAAACCGAAAGGTCCACTGATTAATCTCAGATAAGAAAGTATAATACATACTCCAAGTATTGAAATACACGCCATCGTGTTGGGATTCAATATTTCAACATTAATTATGTCATCATCAGGAATCACTTAATCCACTTAAAATGTTTGCACTGTACAGAATATAAAAAGATAGAAATTTACAAAAACAATCAGTGTGTATAATATCCATTAATTGTATGCTTAGTAAGAAAATTTAATAATGTTGTTTATTTTTTTTTTAATATTTCAGTAAATTGTCTTTAGGTTCATTGCCAAATATGTGGGAATGTGAATTCCATAAGGATAATATTTTTCAATAATATTTACTTCTACTAAGAACAATTGACATAGTGGACAAAGCAGTCTTCATGCTGGACAACTGACCAGCCATTTTGAAAAATTTTGCAACAATCTGTATATTTTACAAGATTCTAGAAGATGAGTACAGTGATACAGATAAGTCTGGTTTAAATAATCAGGTGCCAAAAATAAACTTATCATTCATCTGCAGAAACTCACTATCAATTGCAATTAACTCTTTTCAAGGCAAGAAAGACATAAAGCACAACATAACATTATATATCTGTTTTATTTGAATGTTATGGACACCAATTTGGTTACAATTTCCAAAATCTAATTAAAGTTATACTACACAATGTTCAATATCTTAAGTAAATTTAATGTGTGAACAAGTAAATATATTTAACATTATCATTTAAATAGTACTTATGCTATATTTTCCCCTATAAATAAAACAAACCATTATTATGTATATATTGAAAAATATAGACCTAGATAAGTATACTTACTTGTAGACTAAATTGCAAACTGGTTTCAGCTGGTTTGGTTACTATATGTTAAATTGACCACTTACTAGGTCCATATTATATTTCTCATAAATTACACAATATCTCCTTTGAACTTTAATCAATTTCATAGAATACTTTGCTATATGTTTTGTCAGGCACTCAATCAAAACAAATTAATATGATTTTTTAACGTGCTCTAAATTATGTAAAATAAACACAAGTTTAAATAATAATATTAGTGATTATCAATATCATATTAATAGTTTTTTGAATATTTTTTTTTTCGAAGATCTACTGTAAGTAGAGTTCATGTACACTTTATTGTTTAAAATTTTGTTGTGTATTTCTTTTCAATATACAATTTAAGGTAAATAATAACCACCCATAATATAAAGTTTATAATACTTATCACTTTATTCTATAAACTTTTTGATATCAGTATGTTAAATTTGTTTCTGTTTTTGTGGAGAGAAAACAGTAATCTGCAGGCAGTGATGTGGTCCAATATGTGTGAAATTAACTATCAAATTTATATTATTGTGGTATTATTAATAACCGTATTTCATTCTAATAGTGTTATAAGTTGATGTGTTATATTTTATTCCAAAGAACTTGAATATTCTTAAAGCAATACGTAACATTATACACCGATATGTCTAATAAGAAATATGTATATCATCATTTTAAAATGTTTAGGTTCCAATTTACTCAATATATCAAGAATTTGACTTGACCGAGCATGTCAGCATTTATGTCAATTATCATTTCTAAGAAATAGAATTTGTTTGAAGTTGATTGTGTCTACAAATCACTAAGATATTATACGTTTGTTAGTCTTAGGTTTTATGTAGTGGTTAAGAGAACAATAAAGATGAGGACTACATTGTCCTTTGTATATGAGGTACGATTATAAAGGTTTGAACAGCTGCTAATGCAAGTTAACTTTAGGTTCTGGAAGAGATTACTGACCATGGACATACATATATACATATTTTTTTATTGAGATGTGGTGCTAAGCATTTAAGATGGAACAAATAATGTCTTTCATTGCATTATCTCTCCCCCCTTCCCCATGGTTTCCCAGTGAGTGAGGTAATGTGTGGCAAGATTTCATCTTCAATATTTCATCCCCTTTTTGATTTGTTTTCAAGTATGAAAATCATGTCATTCTTTTTATTCATAAGTCTCTGAAGAATGTGGTGTTGATGATTAACTCATGCTTATATTCCAAAAAAAATAAGCAAAAGCCAAGCAAACTGGGGTGTACAGAAGGGGTCGGAGATAGTGTGGATGTATGTGAGGTTTATTAATATAATCTTGAGTAGAGGCTAAAAAATATGGTGAACCGAAATTTAGAAGCATTAGGTAGTGTAAATACTTAAGATAAAGATTTTCAAATTGGCATATCAGTCGACGAATAAAGGGTTGTAAGTAATATTCTATAATCTTGATATCAAGACATTAAGTGTATTTTGTATAAAAAATAAACGATGAAACACTGTAAGTATGCACTCTATAAGGTTCCCAAAGAATAATACTTTGCAAATACTGTAATGCTGTTCTGTAATACATTTCATTGTTGTTTTCTTGTGATAATAATAATTCGAAGTCTATTTTTGTGCCGGTTTGAGAAGTAAATTAAACGAGGTGGTGTAGTGTTGTAATAGGTTAATTGTACTGTATTATGCAATGATTTCCGAGATACTCGATTGTCATTAAAGTGTATGTGCCTATGTAAATACAGTTGTATATTCTTAATGTTGTCAGTCATAAATTCTAGCAAATATCTTTATGCCTGAACTAACATGACTAAATTTAGTACTTGACTAACTTGACTGAAGTTAGTACTGGACTAACCTGACTACAGTTAGTCCAGGACTAATTTGATTAAAGTTAGTCCTGGACTAACTTGACTAAAGTTAGTCCTGGACTAACTTAACAGAAGTTAGTCCTAGACTAACCTGACTAAAGTTAGTCCTAGACTAACTTGACTGAAGTTAGTCCAGGACTAATTGACTAAAGTTAGTCCTAGACTAATTGACTAACAGTAGTCCAGGACTAATTGACTAAAGTTAGTCCTGGACTAACTGGACTAACTTGGTTGAAGTTAGTGCTGTGCTAACTTGACTATAGTTAATCCAGAACTAACGTAACCAAAGTAAGTCCGTTTTGAGAATACAGTGCTGGCCTTGTACTCTTCTATCTTAAAATTCATTGATTATGGAATGAAGGTGTAACAATTTTCTGTAAATCAAAATGATGTACGGTACTGTATGTCCAAATCTGGGTTGGTAGATGTCGACTGTTCCAGATTTCATACGAATTGTTCCAACATCATATATCCTAAAGTCCACCTGGAATTATTCTAAAATATATAAACATTTTCAGTGGTTTTTTTCTCTTTTTGTTGAAACAAAAATATTGCTAAAACATTGAGAATGTTGGGTAAGTAAAACTTACCCAACATTCTCAAGTGTACTGTCGATGTTATGGGAAACCTTTGAAAGTTAAAGTAAACGTTGAGCAATAATTTTAGATCAACAAAAATGAAAACACTGAATTTATGTAGTGGATCCAGATGAATTTGTTAAATGATGACATACTGTATAAACATCTGTTAATATGCATACTTTGAAAGTCCCTAATTATTTTGTCCTTCATTGTTAAAATAATAAATAAATGTCAACTCAGAGACGTCAATTTCCACCATTCAGAATAAAGTACAATGGAAAATTTCTTTCGTCACCGGCGCCACTCCTCTGTATTTAACTCATATGCAAATTATACAGTACACAGGACTGCTTGTTATTATATGACAACGCCGTGAACTGAAGTAGACCTTGAAAACAGGATTTAAAAAAACAGCTTTTCAGACAACCTAATATTTGGCAATTATGCTTTACAGCCGGATAAAGTCTCGACACTTCCGGGGAGTGCATTTATAGGCTTGTTAATGATTCAATGTACATGGAAACATAGTGTGGTTCGTCTTGAAATAAACACGTGTAAAAGCTACAAAGTAAAATAACAAAACGTCTTACGAAACTGTAACAAAAAAATAAAAAAATAAATAAAATTTTTAAATTTAAAACTAACATCTGTAAGTAACTTGTATGTAAATAAGTTAACTAATAATGACATTAAATTATAAATCAATTGTAAAGCATCAGTTAGCAGGGGTGGCGCCAGGATTTGCCCGACGGGGGACCGATGTTCCCGACTAGGTCAGATTTCCCCGACGAAAGCAATGTGGGCGTGGTCGAGCTTCAATTAAAAGGTTCCGAAAGTGGTCCTGCAGGCGAAGCCCCCAAATATTTAAACAATTTAGGGGTTTCAAAGGCTTATTTAATCGATTTTAGAGTCTATTAATATGTAGAAAATACATATAATTTTTTTTTTCCCGGATTTGCCCGACGGGGGACCGATGTTCCCGACTAGGTCAGATTTCCCCGACGAAAGCAATGTGGGCGTGGTCGAGCTTCGATTAAAAGGTTCCGAAAGTGGTCCTGCAGGCGAAGCCCCCAAATATTTAAACAATTTAGGGGTTTCAAAGGCTTATTTAATCGATTTTAGAGTCTAATTAATATGTAGAAAATACATATAATTTTTTTTTCCCGACGAATTTTGCTTTTTCTCTCCGACGGGGGGGGGGGGGGGGGGGGGGGGGTTGGGCTGACCAGTATCATCATCATTGCATTATGTCTGTCTCTTATACACATCTATATCAGCAGTGTTTATCAGTCAATGACAGTCAGATACTCCTGTCATGAAATGGCAAGTACCAAGTAATAAGTAACACGATACAGTATTTGAACCGTTTGGAAAGACATTGGAAAGATCACCATTGTTGTTTAAGCTTGAACAAAACTTGCAACTGCCACAATAACATGTGGAGATCGACTCTGGTATACTGTACGAAGAACCGTTTCTACTCCTCAAATTTAACAATAACTAACCCACCTTTTCTGGGGATTCGGAGAAACTCCCTCTGATCAGAGTACCAATGTGCTGCCCCATCCCCCAAACGACTCCTTCACATCTTGTCAAGTCTTTAGATCATCCCTTTGAAGGCCCTCATCAATGTAAGAAACAAACCTGCTTGTAAATTTTACTCAATTACACGAACGAAAGAACCGCCGCATATTATTATCCAGACATGTGCAAAATTATAAACAGGTTTAATGTAATTTCACGATAGGTATTCAGACAACAAAACTATTGCAAGTTGGTCGAAATATTTTTCGAAGTAGGCCTAACACACATGCAATCGAGGATGAATGAAATGTGACCATTTTTATCAAGCCTTAGAGAAGTGGTTGTCGATGGAGTTACGGAATGTGTCACAATAGGCCAAGTAAAATTGTTAAGAACTACAGATAGTATGATTCTGAGAGAAACCGAAACTATTCTGTTTTTATTACAGCAAATGTATGAAATAAGCCTACTCTCTAGAAAAAATATTGTACTAAGCTTGTTCTGATTTACACGTTTTTTACTGAACTTGTCACTTTTCTGTAAATTGTTACTGCAAAATCTCATAAATTCTGTAAAATATTGTCCGTAGGCATAATTACTATCGGAATCAGACGGGCTTTTGAAAGAGCGGTAAACGTTGTATAACGGTGACTTAGCGTTTGCTGCTGTTTACATAGGCTCTTAAGCCCACGTACTCAGGAATTCCATTTTAACCTACCTGTTGAAAGTTATAAATTTCCATTCAAACAGAGCTAGCTGCTTCTATTCCACTTGAGTAAAATTATACAATGTACATTAAAGGTATTGTATGCGGCCGTTACACCCATTGTACTAAACACTGATTTTTCTGTCTACAAAATCTATAACCTAAAGCCACAAGCATACTTTGTTACAAGATATAATATTTTAGAAATATTAATCATTATTAGTGTTTGACTAACAAAGCGGTAACCGATAATTTAAGTTTTTACAATGCAGCTTTGTGCGGAGTGCTGGCCTTATCAAACGCGCCAGTCTACTGTTGAAAGATAAATACACTTTTTGACCACATGGATAAACAAGTAAGCCTGCGTTATTTGTCAAGCAATTGAATTTAAACGAAAATTTGCCTAAATAATCACTTCACTAGGTGGCAGGGACATAGGCCTATTCCAATGCCAATTCCATCGTTAGGCTATTTATGTGGTCATTTTTACTTCGGTCTTTATTTCTAATTCTGATCGTAATAATAATAATAATAATAATAATAATAATAATAATAATAATAATAATAATAATAATAATAATAATAATGTTATATTTATATAGCGCATATTGCACATTGCCCCTATGCGCTTTACAGAGAAATAATATAGGCCAACTGAGAAAATGCAAATAACAATAAAATAATAACAATAAAGTAAATAAAATAAAAATAATCATAATAACAATAATAAAAATGAGACTAAACTACTCCTGTTCCTTAAACTAATTAATGGCTGGCCGTTGACTCCGAGGAGCTCATCCGCCCTTTGTTCAGCTATTGGTTTTTCTTGCTGCTGGGTGACCATAAACACCCTCCCCTCAGCAGCCACTAAGACATGCGGTATTTGAGAGGGTTGTCAGTTTAGTCGCCGACGCTTCGACCGGATGGAGTTTAATGTCGTAGGACGTTCTTTATTTTGTGGCTAATTTGAACTATAAGTTATAATTATTATTGTAAAATATTTAACATGGATGCCACTTTCATGCACAGCATATTCTGACAAGTAATCCATTTTCTGGAAAAATACTGATACTACTACTAATATAGTACTACTAATATATTTTGGAAGAACAATTGCTGTTCAACCTCTGGCGAATTGTTAAATCTGAAAACCATCCACTAATCCCTTCGTTTCTCCGACACTATTCCTTTCTTTCCTTGTCGCACATCCGTTTCGCATCTTCCTTTCTTCCACACTCCTTGAGCCTTGCCTATTCACTCTCTCAGGCTCGATCTGCCGGGGATTAAAGCGCGGCTGATTGAGATAACATTACCCTAGGGGGAAATTTCTGTGTTCTAGACGCCCGAAAATAACCTCTCAATGCTTTTTTTTTTAACTTAACTTCAAAGATTTTTTAGCCTTTGGCCCCGACTCTTAATTCCGATTCTTATTGTTCCTTTTACTGCTGTCTTGAGTAAGACTCTGGATTCAATGACTACATACAATGGCGGATGAAACAATCGAAACACCTGTTACTCTGATAAACGTTTGTTTATCAGAGCATGGAGGTATAGGTTGGAGAGCAAATAGGGCCAAATGTTGTTGATGAGCATTCTGCATTTTTAAACACATTAACAAAGTGACTGCCTGTGGATTCGTTTATAACATATGCTAATGCTATACGACTGTTTAAATTGTTTCTTAAACTTTGTAATAATTACACATTTATAATGCGCCATACCGGTAATATTTTACAAGAAGCCGTTAATCATTTATTGTTGTTTTCGTTTTTGTTATTATTTTTGATCAGTATTCATATTATATTCAACACGTCTGTGGCGGTGTTGCTGCTCCCGTGGCTGTAGCATAATTATTACATTTGAGTTCTATCAAACGAGTTGCTTATTAATTTTTAATGGTAATTCATACAGAAACGAACAAAGACAGAAGGGTCAAACAAAGAAATATGCCTTGAGGTAAGCCTATTTGAAAACACGTACGAGATGTTTTTTTTTTTTTTTTTTTTTTTTTATTTGATTTTTAAAGCATTCGATGATTTAGTCTGGAATCATTTTATG